ATCAATATTTAAGACGTATATTAACACCCAAAAATCGCTTACTGCTGCTTTAAGGTAGAAAACATTACTACAATATGATGCACACAAGGTTACTCACGTTTATGGACGCACACAGCAATTGTTCACACAAACCCAAAGTCCGTGGCAGAGCCGATGCTATAGCTACATCTGAGCCGTGCTGCTGCCCTTTGTTGACACGCTAGCGCGCCCCTAGTGGTGCACCTCAATATTACGTTCAGAAACTAAACTATGCAGAACAACTATTAAACCTTTTTAGAGGCAGTCTTTAATACACTTGTCATCCTGAACTAGTTTTCTTTTTAAATCCACACTTTAATGCAACAAACTGCTCCTTTTCTTCCCGCTCTGCTCCGCTCTACCGCTGCTCTGATCACCCGCGCTGATTGGTCAGAGCACGGCCGAGCACCTCTGTGCACGTGCATGAGAGCCACACGTGTATTTGGCGCGATACATCATGGGAGCTCGTCCACTGCGCAGAACTGGGAGGACCAGACGATGCCCAAATATAGGTGAGTTCCGCAAGTATGTCAGCGCCCGTGAAGCACCATGCGCTACGGAGTACAAGCCATTCATTTGAATAGGGTGCCATCTTGGATCACCAGGGCTGTATCCGAATGTCCACACTATACAACTATCCACTCACTCGCTACATAGTGACTGAGTCAGTGCACTCATTCTGTTGGCGATTCGGACACGCTGCACACTATTTTTAGCCACGGCCCGCATCACACTCCCGTCACATGTCATTGGATCAATATACTTATATATAAATAAAGGTCATCTTTGTCTCATATACATGTATAAAATTCCAGTGCACTACTTTTTCTCTCTGGACATTCGGACACCCCTACAAAATGGCATGACCACTATATAGTGTACTATATAGGGCAGGGGTGCTCACACTTTTTCAGCATGCGAGCTACTTATAAAAGGATCAAGTCAAAATGATCTACCTACTACAAAAATGCAAATCATATATTTATTTCAAAAAATATTCTTTATATCTACAATGTATGTTTATGTACATGCAAAACCGCATGAGCCAATATAGCACAACAAAACACAATTACCTATGTACATTTTTTGTCATTACCCGAGTTTACTCTTATGATTTGCACTGAATTGAATCAACCAGGGATGCATAGTCCAGAAAATTGGTGGTAACTCGCTGACAAGTTTGTCGTGGTTTAGCTTTCCTGCACTGAGCGCGGACGCGCGGTTGTTTGCGCATGTGCAGTCACCTAAGTGTCAGTAAAACATTACTGAGTAAAACACAGATGTCATTTGACTGTGGTGCCATGTCCATGTGCCATGCCTGGTTTTTTTAAATCCAAATATTTCCCCTCCTCAGTTTATAAAATAATTTGCATCCACACATCTGCGTTATCAATCACATTCGTAACATTCCAAACATGTGCGTCTCTTACGTCCTGTCCTGCGTTGGGGAAAAACACAGAAGTGGGCGGAGCTTTGATGCAGACGCCGGTAACGGCACTTTTACAGTCATAGAAGACACTCAGAGTAAAGACGTATGTTTACAAGCACTGACCCCGTCCTCAGCCCTGGTTTAGTCCTGGTTTAGTCCTGGTTTAGTCCTGGTTTGGTTGTTTTCGAGCGTGAGTCCCCGCGATCACTTTGCTGCTCTCTGATGTGGAGGATGTTCGCTGCTGCGAGCATCTCACAGCGGACAGTTTTTAAGGTAGTATGATCCATGCTTCAGTGATCAGAGGAATTTAGGGGGGTACTGTGGCGTGCGAGAACGCAAAACTCCGGTTATTTCTGTCTACACACAAATGCACGGAGTTTTCAAAAATCTCCACTTTGCCCGGAGTTTTTTGTATATATTAGTTTAGAATGTGTAATTTTTTATTTATTTAATGCGATCTACCAATACTACCTTTGCGATCGACTGGTAGATCGCGATCGACGTATTGAGCACCCCTGATATAGGGTATAGTGTGGACATTCGGATACAGCCCGGGGCTTGGCTCCCGCAGGTCTCTCCAGCGAGGATATGATGCAAGCTAGCTATGTTCACCCGGGCTTGATGTCTTCTTTGATCATTTTTTCGCTTTAGTTCCCTCTTCTCTTCCTCACTGTTGCGTCGTTTGGGCTGTTTTGCTGTGTCTGCAGTCACAGCCAGAGTAGGTATAAAGGTACTTTCTGCCTCCATTCTGCTCTCGTTTACCTTCGCTGTAGACGCTAGAGGAGGCAGCCTGTTTGTAACGGCACTGCTCCTCGTTCTGTGATTTGAGGAGAGCGAGCCTCACACTAAGTTTCTACTCAGTACTTTTTACAGCCTGAATTAATACACAAGCTGCATAAATGAGCTGAAGTTTTCAATTAAATTACGGATTTTAATACAACTTGTATGTAGTAGTTTTTATGAACTCATTAGAAAACAAGTCGGACATAGCTTCTTTAACTTCTGTCCAACTCTTTCTTTCATCGGAGCAATGTGTGTTATTTAAGAGTCCCTCTGAATGGTCTGTCCTTATATGGCTCTTATCTGGATTTACAAAGACAATCACATAAACAGGATAACAGAGCGATAAACCAGAGAGGAGCAAGAAAGAGGAGCCAAACATGGAAAAAGTTGGTTTAACTGCCGTAGAATGTTGGTCGTGCATATTTCAAAAATTATAGTTTCTTTTAATAAAGAAGAAATACATGAAACATAGAAACAGAAAAAGTCACAAAGTTATGTGTGTACATGTCTATAGTAGAAATGTTATGAAGACTTTATAACTTGTTTGCACCATGAATCTTGTTACTTACATGGTGACCAGACCAGGGGGCGGGACCACATTACACTGGTTTTAAAATCGCTGCATTGGCTCCCCGTGTGTTTCAGGATCGATTTTAAGGTTCTTTTAATGGTTTTTAAATGTCTTAATGGTCTTGGGCCTTCTTATCTTTCAGAACTGCTTATATTATATGAACTTCCCGGGCCCCTGCGCTCCTTCGGCAGCAGACTCCTAACCATCCCCAAAGTCAGGACACAAACTCACGGCGAGGCATCTTTCCAGCACTACGGCCCCCGTCTCTGGAACAGTCTGAGGAGGAGCTCAGGGCCGCAGAGAACGTTCATATTTTTAAAGGCAGGCTCAAGACACACCTTTTTAGAGTAGCTTTTGATTAGTATTTATTCTTTATTGCTAGTGCATTTTAGTCAATTTATTTATCTATTTACTTTTTTATTTGATCTATTTTGTCATTTACTATTGTTATTATTAATTTTAGACAGCTGCCATTTTCTTTTTAGTCTCACATTTTAATGTTGTATTGTATTATTTTAGTATCCCCAGTGTTTCCTCTGGAGGAGCCCTCTGCACAGGGGGCTGGGGTCTGCTGTGGCTGCAGGGGTCTGGCTCTTGGACATGGTGGGGGTCTGGGGCCTCCTCTCTCCTCTGGGTCCTATGGGGGTCTGACTCCTGGACCTGGTGGGGTCTGGGGCCCCCTCTTTCCTCTGGGTCCTGTGTCGTTCCCTGCGGCTGCAGCCGGCTCTCTGCTCCTGGTGCAGATGGCTCCTTGGATGGAGCTTCTTCAGCCGGTTACATCTGCACCCAGCCCTATATCTTTCCATAGTTCTACCTATTTTACCTTTATGTTGTGACTTTACATGTGCCTGTGCCTAACCCTAACCCTAAAGCCTACCGTACATCGACAGAGAAACTGGAGACAACTAGTTGCAAGGCGGCTTTTGGCAACTGAAAGTAGAGGATGGAGATGATCAGTCGCCGAAATCGGTCGATGTGCGCGCTCTTACAACTGGAGATGAACAGTCGGTCTCCAGTTTCAGTCAGTTGCCCGTGTTCTACTTTTCGGCAACTAGTTGTCCTCAGTTTCGGAGATATGACCCGATGTGTGCGCTCCATGCGCCGCTCCGACAACGTGTGTGTATTGCGTGTATTGCGAGCCCGCAACAGTTTATGTCAGAAAACACACTGTAGTTGAGGCCAGTTGCTGTCAATGTACGCGCTGTTATTCCCGAGACTGGTCTGCTACTGGAGTGCGGGGCAGCAACTCATATGCGACGGATATAATCAGTTGCCAGTCCGATGTACGCTAGGCTTAACCCTGGGGCAGTGGGGTTTAGGGGTGGGCATCTTGGATTGTTTTTAACCAAACTGTAAAGCACTTTGTGTTACTTTTTTTTTATTTTTATGAAAAAGCGCTTTATAAATAAAATGTTATTTGATTTGATTTGATTTACAATTGAAATTAAAAAAAAAATCTAATTACAATTCTGAAGAACACAAAAGCTAATAAGCTGTAATTACACTTAAAAACATTACACAAAAAGCCATTCAACTGACAGCTCTGAGTTCTAATGTTCAAATAAAAAATATTCTCTTTGTTTTTGTTCAAACTGATCCGTGACCAACAGTTGCAGCGTGGAGAAAAAAAAAAAAAACATTTGTTGCCGATAGATTACTTGTTGACACTTCCTGCTTCTAAACCTCAGCCAATCACAGCGCGCCGTCACTTCCAAATATGGACAAACCACCGCTTTGGTCCCGCCCTTCTTTGTTAGCTCAGCCAATCACAGGGTGCAGAGGGCTCCCTGCCTTGTGCGGTATGTCGCTGCCTTATCTGTGTCACTGTGGGTTTGTAATCTCTATTTATGACGCGTTTATAGCGTGAAAGCCGTCAGATCCCGCGTGTCTCTGCGTGACGCTGCGTCCGTGCGGGAGCAGTGAAGGAAAACCACAGAGACGTGATTAACGGGGATGTTCTGTCCCGGTGTGAGACGAGCTCCGGAGTAACGGCTGTCAGCTAGCAACACCTTAGCACTTCCGGAAACTACCTTCAAAATAATACTTCAAGAATAAATTAGTTTAAAAATAACGTAGTAATATTATGTTCACTTGAGTACCACGTGTAGCAGTGCTGTAGACAAACTTAAAGCTGGGTACCTATTTTTCTCCTTAAAAACCGTTTATTCTCATAACAATTTTATGAGGATAAAAAACACGATGTGGAAAGTGTTTAAGAGCCTGGTACTAGACATCACAGACCAAGACCAAGAATGGGTCAGAACCAACAATCAGACCTGGACCTGTTCATGACCAAAACCAGACCCAAGGGCCCAAGACCAGACCCAAACCAGATCACCACCAGACCTGACCCAGACCAATACTAGATCTAAACTAAGACCATTCCAAGAATAGGCCTAGACAAAACCAGACCAAAGTCCAGTCCATGAACAAGAACAAGAGACACGGACTTGACCACAACCTGACCCAGACCAACGCCAGATATGAAGCAAGACCAGACCTGGACCACCCCAACCAAGACTAGACCAGACCAAGACCAGAACAGACCCAGACCACTAGTGATAGAGGCAAACCATTTTAGAGCCAGGAACCAGAGAGCTAAAACACGACGCAGTTTTATTGTGAAAAGACCTCGTCGCTGTTTCCGGCTCGTCTGTTCAAACTTGACCCACATTCTTCGCTCCGTACGCGGCTGAAGTTGCTTCCACACTGGGGACCACAGCACCAGCGCCGCAGCCGCTCTGGAGCTCCAGACCCTCGGCTTGAACATGACCAAGCCCTGCCTCTCCTCGGGGCGGCAGCACGGACTCTAACACCCGGGGAACCGCGCCTGGTCTGCGGGTGCCTTCAGTCCGGGAGCCCGCTGATACTGCTGCCGCATGGAGAGCGAGGTAAGCCTGCACACAGAGAGCAGACCAGAGCCCAGGCTCTATGCGTTTATACTGACAGAAAACACACCGAAAATATGTGTTCAAAAGGATCTAAGTGCGGAGGATTGCCCACTGCACCCTGTGATCTCTGAGGACATCCTGCAGCGGACTCTGACCGTGATATTAATGGCAACACATCGGATCAAGATAATAACACTTCTAGAGACAAATGGCATTTGTCTCTAGAAGAGTGTTAGTATCTGACTGAAAATGACCAAAACATATTTATACAATACACTAAAAATCACTGTTCCTTCAATATATGTGTTATTATTGATTAGGAACATGCAACAGTTTTTGCCAGTGATAATGTAATACTGTAATAGTTATTTTACTACCACTACTGCTCCTGCTGCTCCTGCTGCTCCTGCTGCTACTACTGCTCCTGCTGCTACTACTGCTACTGCTGCTGCTACTGCTGCTGCTGCTGCAACTCTTGCTATTGCTGCTGTTGCTTGTACTGCTGCTGATATTACTACTGGTCATGAAGCCAGAGTTGTTTGAGGATGGGGGCAATGTGTTCTCAGAGCTCTGGACATAATACAGTATTTGGAGATGAGAGGATGGGATGGAAGGATGAGAGACCAGAGAGGATGGGAGACCACAGAGAGGATGAGAGACCACAGAGAGGATGGGAGACCACAGAGAGGATGGGAGACCACAGAGAGGATGAGAGACCACAGAGAGGATGGGAGACCACAGAGAGGATGAGAGACCACAGAGAGGATGAGAGACCACAGAGAGGATGAGAGACCACAGAGAGGATGAGAGACCACAGAGAGGATGGGAGACCACAGAGAGGATGAGAGACCACAGAGAGGATGAGAGACCACAGAGAGGATGAGAGACCACAGAGAGGATGGGAGACCACAGAGAGGATGGGAGACCACAGAGAGGATGGGAGACCACAGAGAGGATGGGAGACCACAGAGAGGATGAGAGACCACAGAGAGGATGGGAGACCACAGAGAGGATGAGAGACCACAGAGAGGATGGGAGACCACAGAGAGGATGAGAGACCACAGAGAGGATGAGAGACCACAGAGAGGATGAGAGACCACAGAGAGGATGGGAGACCACAGAGAGGATGAGAGACCACAGAGAGGATGGGAGACCACAGAGAGGATGGGAGACCACAGAGAGGATGGGAGACCACAGAGAGGATGAGAGACCACAGAGAGGATGAGAGACCACAGAGAGGATGGGAGACCACAGAGAGGATGGGAGACCACAGAGAGGATGGGAGACCACAGAGAGGATGGGAGACCACAGAGAGGATGGGAGACCACAGAGAGGAGGAGCACAGAGAGGATGGGAGACCACAGAGAGGATGAGAGACCACAGAGAGGATGGGAGACCACAGAGAGGATGAGAGACCACAGAGAGAGATGAGAGACCACAGAGAGGATGAGAGACCACAGAGAGGATGAGAGACCACAGAGAGGATGGGAGACCACAGAGAGGATGGGAGACCAGAGAGAGGATGGGAGACCACAGAGAGGATGAGGAGCCACAGAGAGGATGGGAGACCACAGAGAGGATGAGAGACCACAGAGAGGATGGGAGACCACAGAGAGGATGAGAGACCACAGAGAGAGATGAGAGACCACAGAGAGGATGAGAGACCACAGAGAGGATGAGAGACCACAGAGAGGATGAGAGACCACAGAGAGGATGAGAGACCACAGAGAGGATGGGAGACCACAGAGAGGATGGAGACCACAGAGAGGATGGAGACAAGAGGTGGGACCACAGAGAGGATGGGAGACCACAGAGAGGATGGGAGACCACAGAGAGGATGGGAGACCACAGAGAGGATGAGAGACCACAGAGAGGATGAGAGACCACAGAGAGGATGAGAGACCACAGAGAGGATGAGAGACCACAGAGAGGATGAGAGACCACAGAGAGGATGGGAGACCACAGAGAGGATGAGAGACCACAGAGAGGATGGGAGACCACAGAGAGGATGAGAGACCACAGAGAGGATGAGAGATCACAGAGAGGATGAGAGACCACAGAGAGGATGAGAGACCACAGAGAGGATGAGAGACCACAGAGAGGATGGGAGACCACAGAGAGGATAAGAGCCCTGTGAGTCACTATTTGACTCTTTGGGCTGGGAGCTGATGAGTGAGGGTGGTTCATGTGTTACTTTTCTGTCTGAAAATTTGATTTATACTGTAGATGTGACATAGGTCAGAAATACATGCTGTGTGAGAGACCAGTGAGAGACCAGAGAGATAATGTTATTTTTTGTGTAAGAAAGTGCCCTGTGAGTCACTATTTAGCACTTTGAGCTGACAGGTGTAGTCTTCTTCTTGTCTGCAGGTGTAACTGGTCTGAAGACCGTGTGGATCATGACTGGTCCAAACTCCCCCAACAGAAGCAGCTCCAGCTCAGTCAAACTGAGACACACCAGGTACCAGAGACCAGAGAGAGAGAACCAGAGAGAGGACCAGACCCTTAGACCTCAGGACCAGACCCTTAGGCCTCAGGACCAGATTCGTAGACCTCAGGACCAGATCCTTAGACCTCAGGTCCAGACCCTTAGACCTCAGGACCAGAGGAGCTCCTTAACCCTGATGTCCTGCAGGTCGAAGAGCTCGAGCGCTCACTGCCTGCTGAGTCGGTGCAGACCTCCCTCTCCAGGGGAGGAGGGAGAGGAGGGGGAGAAAGAGGGGGGAGTCCAGTTTCACGTGAACCGCGGAGGTTTCCCCATCGAGCCCCAGACCTGGGAGCAGATGTGGAACCATGTGGGGAACCTGCATCCAGAGGGACCGAGTCTGGGGGAAAAGATCCGGAGCGCCCCCTACCTGCCCAAGGTGAGACTGCAGCTGTGTGACCAGAGACGCACACACTGCCCAGGCTGGGGTTGTGTTGCTCTTGTGTAGTGTTGCTTTGTGTGGGTTTCCCCGTGAACTCCATCTCTGACAGCTGAGATCAGACGTGTCGAGTTTCATTAGCGCCCAGCAGGCTAAGCTACACACACAGACACACACACGCACAGACACACACCCGCCCGCACACACTCTTTCAGCTGCAGAGTCTAAAGGGTCTAAAGCAGGACTAAAGCAGGATTGAAGCAGGTGTGTATGCAGAGCTGACTGCAGACGCTGCTCCTTCCTCTCTGTGACCTGTCGTGTGGATAAGTCTTTGGCTCCAGTGTAAACACTGACAGAGTAATGGGATTGAGAGTCTATGCCAAGCGGGTCACTAACGACCGGACAGTTAACGAGAAAACAAGAGACAGAGAGTGTCTGTGTGTGTTTGTACTCTTAAAGGAGACAGACCTCAGTCACAGACCTGGAGTCGTGTTCAGATCCATCCATGCTCCTGTCTCAGTCCTGTAACAGTATGATGTCCTTGTACCACTATGACATCATTATGACATCACACTCAGAGCAGTTTTCTGACTTTCAAACAAAAGTATTGGCCCTAACTTAGTTTTGGTAATGACTCCTCTCTGATCTCACTAGTCTTTCCCTGGTCATACTCTCCAGTCTCTCTGGTGTCTCTCTTTCTGGTCCCTCTCTCTGGTCTCTCTTTCTGGTCTTTTTTTCTGGTCTCTCTCTGGTCTCTCTCTCTGGTCTCTCTCTCTGGTCTCTCTCTCTTTGGTCTCTCTCTCTGGTTTCTCTCGCTGGTCTCTCATGGTCTCTCGCTGGTCTGTCACTGGTCTGTCGCTGGTTTCTCTCACAGGGAATTTCTATTCAAAGTTATTAGTTCACCTTCTTAAAGATGAAATGATCATTGTTCTGAATGGACACAATATTGTAAAGTATGTCTTCTAGTTCTTTAATGAATATTTTCCAGATAAGCAGGTTCCCGCTGATCCCAGGTCAGTCTGAACCTTCAGCAGATCCCAGTCCTGTGACTTCGGTCCATATAAAGTCTGTCTCTTCCGCTGATTGTTTGATCCATCTGCCTGACGCGGCTTTTGTCTTTTGTTTGGAGAAACTTGACCTTGTTTAAAGTATCCACGGACGCACACTTTCACACACACACACCACACACACACTAAAGCAAACACGCAACTAAAGCAGGACAAAAAACAGCTCTAATGCAGGACCAAAGCAGGACCAAAGCAGGACCAAAGCAGGACCAGAGCAGGACCAAAGCAGGACCAAAGCAGGACCAAAGCAGGACTGATTATTAGACTTAGTATTGGTACATATTCAAAGCACTTTCCAGATTCCCGGAGACCGGATCCGTCCGCTGCTGTCGCTCAAACACAATAATCCCTGCGAAATTCAATCCTGGATTAATCCGAGTGTTGGCAAAATGACAATGTGGGAAACGTGACCAAAACAAAAGGCTCTGGTCACAAACATCCAAACGAAGTAAAGAGGTCACGGACAATATGCTTCTGTTTGGTTTCATCCAGCACCGACACTTTTCTCCTCAACACCTCAACATTCAGGAAACTTTAACATTCTACAAGACTCTATCTCTGTTCCTCTTCAAAGTATTAGAATAACAGTGGGTCCAGAACAGAGCCCTGAGGCACACCTGCTTTAGACCTGCTTTAGACCTGCTTTAGTCCTTCTTTAGACCTGCTTTCGTCCTACATTAGACCCTCTTTAGTCCTGGTTTGGACCTGCTTTAGTCCTGGTTTAGACCTGCTTTAGTCCTGGTTTGGACCTGCTTTAGTCCTGGTTTTGACCTGCTTTAGACCTGGTTTAGACCCTCTTTAGTCCTGGTTTAGACCTGCTTTAGTCCTGGTTTAGACCTGCTTTAGTCCTGGTTTAGACCTGCTTTAGTCCTGGTTTAGACCTGCTTTAGTCCTGGTTTAGACCTGCTTTAGTCCTGGTTTAGACCTGCTTTAGTCCTGGTTTAGACCTGCTTTAGTCCTGGTTTAGACCTTAGTCCTGCTTTAGACCTGCTTTAGACCTGCTTTAGACCTGCTTTAGTCCTGCTTTAGACCTGCTTTAGTCCTGCTTTAGTCCTGCTTTAGTCCTGCTTTAGTCCTGCTTTAGTCCTGCTTTAGACCTGCTTTAGTCCTGCTTTAGACCTGCTTTAGTCCTGCTTTAGACCTGCTTTAGTCCTGCTTTAGACCTGCTTTAGTCCTGGTTTAGACCTGCTTTAGTCCTGGTTTAGACCTGCTTTAGTCCTGGTTTAGACCTGCTTTTAGACCTGCTTTAGTCCTGGTTTAGACCTGCTTTAGTCCTGGTTTAGACCTGCTTTAGTCCTGGTTTAGACCTCTTTAGTCCTGGTTTAGACCCTCTTTAGTCCTGGTTTAGACCCTCTTTAGTCCTGGTTTAGACCTGCTTTAGTCCTGGTTTTGACCTGCTTTAGTCCTGGTTTAGACCCTCTTTAGTCCTGGTTTAGACCCTCTTTAGTCCTGGTTTGGACCCTCTTTAGTCCTGGTTTGGACCTGCTTTAGTCCTGGTTTGGACCCTCTTTAGTCCTGGTTTGGACCTGCTTTAGTCCTGGTTTGGACCTGCTTTAGTCCTGGTTTGGACCTGCTTTAGTCCTGGTCCGTGCCTCACATTTAGACCTCTCTTCTTCCTCTGGTTCCGGTGCAGCTGCTGTTGTTGCTGTAAATAAACTGCAGGAAATGACTGAGCTCATAGAGGATCTGGCTTCCTCTTACTCACCCCAAATCCTCCCCCCTCCCTCCCCCCTCCCTCCCCCCTCCATCCCTCCTCCTATCATTTGGGAACATCCTCCTATAACATCCTCCTATCCTCCTACAAACCATTAATGCAATTTGAGGCGAGATGTTGTCGTTTCATGTGAAATGTGGGTTTTAAGAGGAAAGGTTTGTGTAAAGTTTGGTTTAAGTTTGCTCCTGTCCAACCACACTGCTGTGATGTCCCTTTCTGTTCGAGTTGAACTCCCGCATACGTCATTTTACTGATCGATGACACGTCCTGTGGATAACTCGACAGCTGTCAGCTAACAACTGGTCTGTCGGGTTGATAATGGAAATACTAAAGAAATTCTAAGTCTAGGCCTCTCCAGTTGAGTTTGACTTTGAGAATCCTGTAGGAAATGTTCTCTGATTCGCAGAGTAAAGACCTGTGTGTGTCTGTGTGTCTCAGAGTGAAGTCCTGTGTGTGTCTGTGTGTCTCAGAGTGAAGACCTGTGTGTGTCTGTGTGTCTCAGAGTGAAGTCCTGTGTCTGTGTGTCTCAGAGTGAAGACCTGTGTGTGTCCTGTGTGTGTGTCTCAGAGTGAAGACCTGTGTGTCTGTGTGTCTCAGAGTGAAGACCTGGGTGTGTCTGTGTGTCTCAGAGTGAAGACCTGTGTGTGTCTCAGAGTGAAGACCTGGGTGTGTCTGTGTCTCAGAGTGAAGACCTGTGTGTGTCTCAGAGTGAAGACCTGTGTGTCTGTGTGTCTCAGAGTAAAGACCTGTGTGTGTCTGTGTGTTTGTCTCAGAGTGAAGACCTGTGTGTTTGTGTGTCTCAGAGTGAGGACCTGTGTGTGTCTGTGTGTTTGTCTCAGAGTAAAGACCTGTGTGTGTCTGTGTGTTTGTCTCAGAGTAAAGACCTGTGTGTGTCTGTGTGTTTGACTCAGAGTAAAGACCTGTGTGTGTCTGTGTGTCTCAGAGTGAAGACCTGTGTGTGTCTGTGTGTTTGTCTCAGAGTAAAGACCTGTGTGTGTCTGTGTGTTTGTCTCAGAGTAAAGACCTGTGTGTGTCTGTGTGTTTGTCTCAGAGTGAAGACCTGTGTGTGTCTGTGTGTTTGTCTCAGAGTAAAGACCTGTGTGTGTCTGTGTCTCAGAGTGAAGACCTGTGTGTGTCTGTGTGTCTCAGAGTGAAGACCTGTGTGTGTCTGTGTGTGTGTCTCAGAGTGAAGACCTGTGTGTGTCTGTGTGTTTGTCTCAGAGTAAAGACCTGTGTGTGTCTGTGTGTTTGTCTCAGAGTAAAGCCCTGTGTGTCTCAGAGTAAAGACCTGTGTGTGTCTGTGTTTGTCTCAGAGTGAAGACCTGTGTGTGTCTGTGTGTGTGTCTCAGAGTAAAGACTTGTGTGTGTCTGTGTGTTTGTCTCAGAGTGAAGACCTGTGTGTCTGTGTGTCTCAGAGTGAAGACCTGTGTGTGTCTGTGTGTTTGTCTCAGAGTAAAGACCTGTGTGTGTCTGTGTGTTTGTCTCAGAGTAAAGACCTGTGTGTGTCTGTGTGTCTCAGAGTGAAGACCTGTGTGTGTCTCAGAGTGAAGACTTGTGTGTGTCTGTAACAGTCTCGTTCCTCTCTGTTGCAGCCTCCGGTTCCGTCAGTGCCAAACTTCAAACCGTCCATGTCCATCTCTGATTGGCTGACGGCGGTGCAGAACTACATGAAGGCTCTGCAGTATCCACACAGTGTTAAAAAAGACTGTATACAGATGGACGATGCTAACACAGACTGTATACAGATGGACGATGCTAACACAGACTGTATACAGATGGACAATGCTAACACAGACTGTATACAGATGGACAATGCTAACACAGACTGTATACAGATGGACAATGCTAACACAGACTGTATACAGATGGACAATGCTAACACAGACTGTATACAGATGGACAATGCTAACACAGACTGTATACAGATGGACAATGCTAACACAGACTGTATACAGATGGACAATGCTAACCCTCTTAGCTCAATGGGGGCTAGCACTTTTTCCAAATCTGGTTTTCAGCTAAATGAGTCTTGGCTGGGAACGGGCAAGTGTTCATTTTACAGTCTGTCAGAGCCAAACCCCAGAAGCAGAGATTATATTTACCCCACAACATGTAGGCCACCTATAAAGATGGGCCTCCAGAGAAACTACAGCTTACTTTAGCAACCGCCTTAGCAACACGTCTTCCCCTGTTACAACCCGAAGCCAACGCTGCAGAACAAATACCCATATAAGGAAACTGGCTCCTGTTTATGTTCAAATCAGCCTCTTCTGCGTTAATGCTAACACTGTGGTGATGTCACACACTGTCAGTCCACTTGTCATATACAGTCTATGTTTATGGCCTCTGTTTCTGTCCTGAACCTGCGTCAGATACAATCACACTGGGACTCAGTTCTTTGAGATCAAGAAGAGTCGTCCTCTGTGCGGGTGAGTGTCTGCTCACGGAACACCGTAGATGCTAGCATGCGCCAATGAGCACACGCCCCTGATCTGGATGGGCAGACATGTTGGAGAGACCAGGGGCAGACATCTTGGAGGTGGTGTGTCCTGGTTCTTCACTGTCCCTGGTGGTGTGTCCTGGTACTACGCTGTCCTCTTGTGTGTCCTGGTACTACACTGTCTCCTGGTGGTGTCTCCTGGGACTGCACTGTCCCTGGTGGTCTGTCCTGGTACTACTCTGTCCTCTTGTGTGTCCTGGTACTACACTGTCTCCTGGTGGTGTCTCCTGGGACTGCACTGTCCCTGGTGGTCTGTCCTGGTACTACGCTGTCCTCTTGTGTGTCCTGGTACTACACTGTCTCCTGGTGGTGTCTCCTGGGACTGCACTGTCCCTGGTGGTCTGTCCTGGTACTACTCTGTCCTCTGTGTCCTCAGGTTGATGGAGACGGCTCGGGACATGATCCGGGAGTCTCTGCCGATCAAGTGTCTGGAGGCGGTGATCCTGGGAGTGTATCCTTTAGTCACTGGTTCTTCTGGCACCCCCTCCACTCTTCTCTCTGAGGGGGGAGAAGGTGCTAACACTACACACACGTCTCACAATACTCTGCAGAACGACAGCGTAACGAGCCGTGTGTTTGGGTGAACAGTCATTTTTTAAAGTGCTATATAAATAAACTTGACCATGACCTTAACCCTCGAAGCTCTCAGTGTCAGAGAGAGGTCAGCGAGAGAGAGACTCAAGGAGTTTCTCACCCAATTATCATTTAAACAGAGGAATAAAAGGTTTATTTGGCAAAGGAAGTCCTCACACAAAGTTCAATTCAAAATGTTTAAGGTTCTGTCCAGATTCTAAACAAAGATTACCAAAAAGTGTCCAGGTCTCAGCGAGAATTGAACTCGCGACCCCTGGTTTACTAGACCAGTGCTCTAACCACTGAGCTATGAGACCTCAGACGTGGAGAAGTGTGTGCGTCAATATAAAAAATACACACACACACCCATATACACAGATCCAGAGGCTGAACTGGTCTGACCAGGACTCGCCTCAGCATCAGTCTTGATAGAGATAAGAGAGAGACCAGAGAGAGACCAGAGAGAGACCAGAGAGAGAGACCAGAGAGAGAGACCAGAGAGAGAGACCAGAGAGAGACCAGAGAGAGATCAGAGAGAGATCAGAGAGAGACCAGAGAGAGATCAGACAGACCAGAGAGAGACCAGAGAATGATCAGAGACCAGAGAGAGATCAGAGAGAGACCAGAGAGAGACCAGAGAATGATCAGAGAGACCAGAGAGAGACCAGAGAATGATCAGAGAGACCAGAGAGAGATCAGAGAATGATCAGAGAGAGAGTAGAGTTGGTATACACAGCTTTAGTTAAGCTCAGAACTCGAACTGGGTCAAAAACTTTGAATCCGTTTGAACGCTTCACAAACTCAAACACAGAAGTTCCCTCTTTTCAATCTGCAGCTGTCATGATGAGGATGAAGAGCAGAGGAGGGACTCAGCATCACTTTGGAAAATAAAAAATAATTGTTTTCTCGGCTGGTGAAAAATGCCCATAGATTGCTTCGTTCTATAATTCACCTTAAAACTTACAGAAGTTTTAAAACAGTTGCTTCTATCGTCTCTGTCACCAATAAATCCACATGAATCTCAATCTGCAAATCCACAGTGATTGTCATGAGCACACATACAGTGTCTGTGCTTTCTGATGACATCACTGTCTATGACGTCATTGGTCAAAGGTAGAAAAGTGTCCAGGCCCCAGCGAGAATTGAACTCGCGACCCCTGGTTTACAAGACCAGTGCTCTAACCACTGAGCTATGAGGCCTCAGGTACAGGAACATGTGTGTGTGCGTCAATATAAAGGACACACACACACACAGGGCACTCCCACAATGTATTTACACAACATTACAGTCATTTCCATAAGACACACCTCCCTCTGTTCTAAAGCTGCTCCACGGCTTTTCTCCATGTTACACACACACACCAAAAATACTTCATATATAAATACTAAATGAATACTTTTTATAATACAGTATGTGTCTATATATAAAGATGAATTCCCAGAGTGTGAGCTTTTGTGTTTCATTGGTCAGTCCTTACATGGCTCATATCTGGATCCAAAGATAATATCATAAACATCAGGATCCCAGAGAGCTGAGTGTGACAGAAACCCCCTCGCCTCCCTCGCCTCCCTCGCCTCCCTCTCCTCCCCCTCCTCACCCGTTCCCCTGACGTTCCCTCTCTGTCAGCGTGAATCATCTTCAGCGCTGGTCTCTGCAGAGGTCTGAGGTTCACACACTGAAAGAAATGTCAGACGCTGCTTCTACATTCATCGTTACCTCTGAGCACAAACCACAAGTTATGTGTGGATCGTACTGAGCAGAAACACAGTCGGCCTTCAACCCGCCTTGCAACCGAAACTCTCTCTGGTCTCTCTGCTTTCTCTCTATGGTCTCTATGGTCTCTATGGTCTCTCTGGTCTCTCTGGTCTCTCTCTCTGGTCTCTCTCTCTGGTCTCTCTCTCTGGTCTCTCTCTCTGGTCTCTCTCTCTGGTCTCTCTCTGGTCTCTCTCTCTGGTCTCTCTCTCTGGTCTCTCTCTGGTCTCTCTCTCTGGTCTCTCTCTCTGGTCTCTCTCTCTGGTCTCTCTCTGGTCTCTCTCTGGTCTCTCTCTGGTCTCTCTCTGGTCTCTCTCTCTGGTCTCTCTCTCTGGTCTCTCTCTGGTCTCTCTCTCTGGTCTCTCTCTCTGGTCTCTCTCTCTGGTCTCTCTCTGGTCTCTCTCTGGTCTCCAGTTGACTTCTTATGATACAAACATAATCTCTTCTTTAAACAGTTAAATATGTAAAGCTCATGGATTTTACAGTTTTTTTTAAGAGGAATTTGCAGCTATTTTTGGACACACACACGCAAATACACACACACACTACACACAGAGACACTCACAAAGACGCACACACACATAATAATAAAAATACACAGAGACACACATCCCGCTGATCAAACGGCACCTTGGCTCTCTTGGCTCCTCCGTCAAATCCAGCCTCAGAAACCTCGGGATTGTGTTTGACCAGGCCATGTCTCTGGAGACACACAAACAGCTCGTCCGTAACTGCTTTTATCACCTTAGGAACATTGCAAAAATCCACAATATGTTATCAAAGAAGGACCTGGAAATGATCATTCATGCTTTTATTTCAACAAGACTTGACTATTGCAACTCTGTTTTTACCTGCTTGAATAAGTCTGCACTCAACCAACTTCAAATAGTTCAAAATTCTGCTGCTAGACTTTTAACAGGTGCCCCTCGAAGGTCCCATATCACTCCTGTTCTGTCTGTTCTTCATTGGCTCCCAGTAAAATTCAGGATTGATTTTAAGATTTTAGTGCTGACCTTCAGAGCCTTAAATGGTCAGGCCCCCCAGTACATCCTGAACCTTCTGAGCCTGTACTCCTCTGGCCGCACTCTCCGGTCCTCTGGCCAGAACCTGCTTGTGGTCCCCAAAACCCATTATAAGACTCGAGGGGACCTGTCTTTTCAGTCTGTTGCCCCCAGACTGTGGAACGCCCTGCCCCCGTCCCTACGTCTGGCCGACTCTGTGGACTCTTTTAAAAAAGGCTTGAAGACTTATTTATTTAAGAAAGCTTTTAGTTGTTTGGGTTCTCACTAATGTCACTTTTAAGTACATGTGTGTAAATGTATTTTATATTGTTTCGTCTTTGTCCACTGTCCTGTACAGCACTTTGTGATTCTTATCTGTGAAAAGCGCCTTATAAATAAACTTTACTTACTTACATGTTTTCAGCTGCATGTGTCCTGTGACTGTCGCGAGGACACATGCAGTCAGCACTTTGGATTGTGTCTGTGTGTGTGTTTTTGAAAGTGACACACACACACACACACACACACACACACACACACACACACACACAAAGCTGCCTCTTGTCTCTCTTCACATGTTCCTCATTTGGATCCACATGATGCTAATGCTACATTCATTTTTGGCATAGCTCTAATGGAACTCGTGCTGGAACAGCCTGATTTCCCATTGATATTAATGAGCAAACTCAGAAGCTTCGCAAACATGAGAAAAATCTGTAGGCCTCTGTGTGTGTGTGTAGACCTCTGTATGTGTGTGTAGACCTCTGTGTGTGTATGTGTGCGTAGGCCTATGTGTGTGTGTGTAGGCCTCTGTATGTGTGTGTAGGCCTCTGTGTGTGTGTGTAGGCCTCTGTGTGTGCGTGTAGGCCTCTGTATATGTGTGTAGGCCTCTGTATGTGTATGTGTGCGTGTGTAGGCCTCTGTATGTGTGTCTAGGCCTCTGTATGTGTGTGTAGGCCTCTGTATGTGTGTCTAGGCCTCTGTATGTGTGTGTAGGCCTCTGTATGTGTGTGTAGACCTCTATATGTGTGTGTAGGCCTCTGTATGTGTGTGTAGGCCTGTATATGTGTGTGCTCCTTGACCTCTGAGCCCAGGTACCTGACTAACGGCCTGACCTCTCTGGAGCGGTTCCCCATCTCCTTTAAGACCCAGTTCTCGGGTCACTGCTTCCATCACGTGGTTCTGGGCGTCTGCTGCAACGGTCGCTACGGCTCTCTGGGAATGAGTCGCCGTGACGACCTCATGGGCAAACCACTCTGCCACCGCACCCTGGGGGACCTGGTGGGGGAGTTTGAGAGTTCCTACAGGAGGTACCAGCACACCATCAAGAAGGTACTACTGACCCCAACTCTGGTCTCTCGCTTTGGTCTGTCACGCTGGACTTTCTGGTCTCTCTTTCTGGTCTCCCGCTCTGGGCTCTCGTCCTCTCTCTCTGGTCTCTCTCTCACAGTGTGGTGATGTCTCTCTCATCTCTGGTCTCTCTCTGGTCTCTCTCTCACGGTGGTGGTGTCTTTCTCCTCAGGTGAAGATCGGTCTGTATGTGCCTCATGATCCTCACGTGTTTCAACCGATCGAGTGGAAACATCTGGTGCTGAACGCAGCGAGACTCGGAGCTTTGGAAATGAGGAGAGAACTGGAGAAACACGGGAGAGACATGAGGATGAAGGTACCAGGAAGACCAGAGAGAGACCAGAGTGATCAGAGAGAGGCCAGCGAGAGACTAGAGAGAGACCAGAGTGATCAGAGAGAGGCCAGCGAGAGACTAGAGAGAGACCAGAGTGATCAGAGAGAGGCCAGCGAGAGACTAGAGAGAGACCAGAGAAAGACCAGAGAGAGACCAGAGAAAGACCAGAGACTAGTACTTGTGTTTATGCATAGACCCTGTATTATGAGTGGTGTTAGTGGCCCCTGTAATAAACCAGGAACCACTGTATTTGCTTGAGCTTTACGGGGTCCAGCAGGTGTGAGCTGAAGTTGGCTGAATGACACAATCTATGACCTCAGAGACCAGCTGTAGTAGTGTTGCTGGTATGTAGGTCAGTGGGAGACTGTTCAGTCACATAAATAGATGTGTTCAGTCGCCCAGCTCAAAGACAGCGATGACAACTTCATTAGCACTTAGTAACTGAGACATGCTCCTCTGACACTGAACACTGCAGGGAAAGGTCTGCGTGTGGCTTGGACCCGTGTCAGAGGAGCTGCTGAGAGCGGAGGCAGAGCTCAGATTCTTCTCATAAACACATTCAGAGGAATCAGGACTCACAGAACACACCTGCTGTAACCAGGGAGAGACCAGGGAGAGACCAGGGAGAGACCAGGGAGAGACCAGGGAGAGACCAGGGAGAGACCAGGGAGAGACCAGGGAGAGACCAGGGAGAGACCAGAGAGAGACCAGAGAGAGACCAGAGAGAGACCAGAGAGAGACCAGAGAGAGACCAGAGAGAGACCAGAGAGAGACCAGGGAGAGACCAGGGAGAGACCAGAGAGAGACCAGAGAGAGACCAGAGAGAGACCAGAGAGAGACCAGAGAGAGACCAGAGAGAGACCAGAGAGAGACCAGAGAGAGACCAGAGAGAGACCAGAGAGAGAGACCAGGGAGAGACCAGAGAGAGAGACCAGGGAGAGACCAGGGAGAGACCAGAGAGAGACCAGAGAGAGACCAGGGAGAGACCAGAGAGAGACCAGGGAGAGACCAGGGAGAGACCAGGGAGAGACCAGGGAGAGACCAGGGAGAGACCAGGGAGAGACCAGGGAGAGACCAGGGAGAGACCAGGGAGAGACCAGAGAGAGACCAGGGAGATACCAGGGAGAGACTGGAGTAGAGTAGAGCTGGTGTATACAGGGGAAGGATTGATGTGATCTCGCACTCAAACATTATAATGAAAACAGATTATAGTCTGATTTTTTGTTTATTCTCATTGTCCTGATCTCTGCTCCAGTCTGTGTGAGTTTCTGTATTTTGCTACATCCTTTTTTCCATCAATTTTCCCTGTCTCTGCTGAAGAAAAGCATCCCCACAGCATGATGCTACCACCCCCATATTAGACACTGGAGATGTAGTGTTCGTGTAAAAGTTAGTTTGGAAGTGTCTCTGCCTCGTCACGGCGCCATGTTGAGAGCCTGAGGGAGTGAAGCGCTGCTCTTAATGAATTAGATCCATAATGGCGTCCGCACAGATGCTAACTGCAGCTCGGGGAACATTAGCCTAAATGAAGAAAAACACAATAGAGTTTTACTACAGAAACAGATGACGACTGTTCTGGAAATCTTTAAAACTTTAACTTGACGTTTGTGAAATAAGTTTTGAAATATACATACTATATGTATATTAATATTGGTGGTTTCCTCCAGGTGCTCCGGTTTTGGCGTCTTTGGACCTCTCTGGCGTCTCTCTCTCTGGTGTCTCTCTCTGGTCTCTCTCTCTGGTCTCTCTCTCTCTGGCGTCTCTCTCTCTCTGGTCTCTCTCTCTGGTCTCTCTCTCTCTGGTCTCTCTCTCTGGTCTCTCTCTGTGGTCGCTCTCTCTCTGGTCTCTCTCTGTGGTCTCTCTCTCTCTGGTCTCTCTCTCTGGTCTCTCTCTCTCTGGCGTCTCTCTCTCTGGTCTCTCTCTCTGGTATCTCTCTCTTTCTGGTCTCTCTCTCTGGTCTCTCTCTCTCTCTGGTCTCTCTCTCTCTCTGGTCTGTCTCTCTGGTCTCTCTCTCTGGTCTCTCTCTCTGGTCTCTCTCTCTGGTCTCCCTGAAGTATCTGGTTCTGGAGTCCATTATGATTTGTTGCCAAGGGTCTAAAAGCACGAGTTCGCAGTGGGACAGGGTTGAATGAGGAGCGTTCAGGCAGAAGGGGTGGGGGTCCCTGATGTTAATGTTGAATCTGGACCAGTTGTAAGAAGTAACCAGTAATGTACAGGTGTCCCTCAGGGCTCAGTCCTGGTCCCACTGTTCTTCTCCCACACTGAGGACCTGTTTGAGGACCAGGGAGAGACACTTCCTGAATCATGTCTTTGTCTCAGATCCTGAAGTCGTCCAGCGCACAGTCTCCCGTCAAAGAGCGAAGTCGAGGGAAGAGTCTGTCTCCACGGCGACGGCGGAGCGGCAGCCCCCAGCGACGGCAAGCGAGGAGGGACAAATCGTACGTACAATAAACCAAAACCAGTGTAACATTTCTATTGTCATTTACACATATTTCCTAATGAAGAAAACACATTCTACTGTTAGAATCTGTATAACTGAGTCCAGGGCGAGACTAAAGCAGGACTAAAGCAGGACTAAAGCAGGACTAAAGCAGGACTAAAGCAGGACTAAAGCAGGACTAAAGCAGGACTAAAGCAGGACTGACACGGTGCATATGCCTCCAGCCTGAGTTTCTCCTGTGACTGTAAACAAGTGCTACTAACGTGTTCTTGATACAGAGGTAGTGTTTAATAATAAAATAAACTTATGGCGCAGCTCATGAACACAAACTGCTGTTTTATAAAGTCTCTGAAGGTCTCAGACACAGAGACGCTGCAGCTACATTTGTGGAGAAGAACTTAACACAAAAAGCCGCTAGCTTAACCCAATTAGCATCAAAGCCTGCCCTGCGTTTTGGTGCTTCAGATGTACTAAACACATTCAACTAAAATTCAGTGAATCTGCTTCAAGTGCGTTTGGATGCTGCGTTCAAGCGTCGGCGGTGTAAACGTAGCTTAAAGCAGGTCTAAAGCAGGTGTAAAGCGGGTCTAAAGCAGGCCTAAAGCAGGCCTAAAGCAGGCCTAAAGCAGGCCTAAAGCAGGCCTAAAGCAGGTCTAAAGCAGGTCTAAAGCAGGCCTAAAGCAGGACTAAAGCAGGACTAAAGCAGGACTAAAGCAGGACTAAAGCAGGACTAAAGCAGGTCCAAAGCAGGTCCAAAGCAGGTCTAAAACAGAACGTCTTGAGACACTGGGGTCTGTTGAAAGTTAGGTATCTCAGCTTTAATCGTGTCTTCACTTTAACCCTTATGTTATCCTCAGATCATATTGACCCGCCACATTAACAAAGGACCTAAATCATTTTGTATCGAGTTGAATTTAAATGATTTTTATGAACTTGATCCTGTGTCGTTCAGAGGCTTTTAGACCCTAATGTTTTCCTTCATTTTGACCCGAGAGGAACAAGAGCCGGAAATACTGCTTTAAAAAGATATACATTTTTTATAAGTGGATCTGTGGTTCAGCAGAAGTGCTACACACGTAGACACACACATACACGCACACGCGCACACACACACACACATGTGACAGCCTGTAATCTGCTGCAGACAACAGCTGTTTTAAGAGGAGCAACTTCAGCGACACCAGAGACAGATCTGTTCAAGTGGAAATGTAGCAGTAACAGTAGCAGTAGTGGCCATAGTAGTAGCAGCAGCAGCAGTAATGTTAGTAGTAGTAGCAGTAGTAGCAGTAGCAGTAGCAGCAGCAGTAGTAGTAGCAGCAGCAGTAGTTGCAGTAGTAGCAGCAGTAGTAGTAGCAGTAGTAGCAGTAGCAGTAACAGCAGCAGTAGTAGTAGCAGCTGCCGTAGTAGTAGTAGTAGCAGTAGCAGCAGCAGCAGCAGCAGCAGCAGTAGTAGCAGTTGCAGTAGTAGTAGCAGTTGCAGTAGTAGCAGCAGCAGTAGTAGCAGCAGTAGCAGCAGTAGTGTATGTTCCATTGCTGAGAGAGTTCAAAGCAGTAATAATAAAATGCAAAAATGAGGAAGTGGAGGATTACTGTCAGAGCTAAAGCTGCAGAACTGACACATCTGCACAAACTGAGACTTTATTCTACTGCAGAGACCAGAGAGGGAGACCAGAGATAGACCAGAGAGAGAGACCAGAGATAGACCAGAGAGAGAGACCAGAGAGAGAGAGACCAGAGATAGACCAGAGAGAGAGAGAGACCAGAGAGAGAGACCAGAGAGAGACTTGAGAGAGAGAGACTTGAGAGAGAGAGACCAGAGAGAGAGAGACCAGAGAGAGAGACCAGAGAGAGACTTGAGAGAGAGAGACCAGAGAGAGAGAGACCAGAGAGAGAGAGCAGAGAGAGAGACTTGAGAGAGAGAGACCAGAGAGAGAGAGACCAGAGAGATAGACCAGAGAGAGAGACCAGAGATAGACCAGAGAGAGAGACCAGAGATAGACCAGAGAGAGAGACCAGAGATAGACCAGAGAGAGAGAGAGACCAGAGAGAGAGACCAGAGAGAGACTTGAGAGAGAGAGAGACCAGAGAGAGAGACCAGAGAGAGAGACCAGAGAGAGAGACCAGAGAGAGACTTGAGAGAGAGAGACCAGAGAGAGAGAGACCAGAGAGAGACCAGAGAGAGACTTGAGAGAGAGAGACCAGAGAGAGAGAGAACTGAGAGCGAGAGGCCAGAGAGATTAGATTGAGACCAGAGATTGTGTCTGTGTTTGCATTGATGGTGTCTCTCTTTGTTGAATGTGTCTCTCTTTGTTGAATGTGTCTCTCTTTGTTGATGGTGTCTCTCTTTGTTGATGGTGTCTCTCTTTGTTGATGGTGTCTCTTGTGTTGCAGACCTGCCTGTGTGGACCGGAAGCCCGCGGAGCTCAGCACACTCAGCGATGGATACCAAATAAGGATCTAATTTGACGCAGAGACACAGAAACACGACTTTGTCCTCTGGTCAAATGCACAATCGCCGTAGCAACAGCACAATCAGAGCTAAAACTGGTACCAGGCTGTTCTCTGCTGCTCACATGTGGCTCAGGGGAAGACGGTTCTAGAACAACACACACCAGCGACAGAAAGTCTCTGTGGTGCTCCATGTGGATGAGAAACAGGTACCTTATAATGTGATTCTCTCTCTGGTTTCTCTCTCTGGTCTCTCTCGCTGGTCTCTCTCTCTCTCTCTGGTATCTCTCTCTCTGGTCTCACTCTCCCTGGTCTCCACCTGGTCTCTCTCTGGTCTCTCTCTGGTCTCTCTCTGGTCTCTCTCTGGTCTCTCTCTGGTCTCTCTCTCTGGTCTCCCTCTGGTCTCTCTCTGGTCTCTCTCTGGTCTCTCTCTGGTCTCCCTCTGGTCTCCCTCTGGTCTCTCTCTCTGGTCTCTCTCTCTGGTCTCTCTCTCTGGTCTCTCTCTCTGGTCTCTCTCTCTGGTCTCTCTCTCTGGTCTCTCTCTCTGGTCTCCCTCTGGTCTCTCTCTGGTCTCTCTCTCTGGTCTCTCTCTCTGGTCTCTCTCTCTGGTCTCTCTCTCTGGTCTCTCTCTCTGGTCTCTCTCTCTGGTCTCTCTCTCTCTGGTCTCTCTCTCTGGTCTCTCTCTCTGGTCTCTCTCTCTGGTCTCCCTCTGGTCTCCCTCTGGTCTCCCTCTGGTCTCCCTCTGGTCCCTATGCACGCACTGAAGCTAAAACCCAGATCCAAGTCTTCCGTTCTGACCCAGAGAATAAACCGTTGGAACCATGTGGAGAGAGTTTGTTAGAAACACCAGTATTCACCAGTTTTGGCTTTTGGACAAAACTTTGTAGAAAACACATTTTTCTCTTGCGTTTGTTATTGTTGTTAAAACTGTTAAAGGGGAAGTGTCCAGAGCCAGAAGCAGCGAGAGCAGAGACTATAGTCACCAAAACAGCATGTACCACTTATAATGAGAGGCCCAAACTACAGGCCCACTGTGGAGGCACATCTGTCTCTGTGCACTGGCTGTTCTCACTTATAATGAGAGTCAACGTGTCATCAGAGGCCAAAGCCACAGGCCTCAGCTTCACAAAGAGGGAGAAGTCTCAGACAAAATGGCCGCCTTCCGTTTTGTTACTTTCTGCGTTCGTCAAACTCTCGCCACTCGGATTTTTGAACTTTTCTGGAACCGAGTCGCCGTAGCAACAAGGCTTTGATCTTTCTCTTTGATTGTTTGACGTTTCTCTGACGGAACATGTTTCGATTGTTTTTGATAGTTTTTTGATTGTTTTCGATTGTACGTTTTTGCCTTTTTCACTGAATGTTTTCGGTTCAATAATCGGAATAAAACAGTTTATGAAGTTTGAATGTTTTAGTTTCACGATTGTTAAAGTTCACAACGTTTCATTTTTGACTTTGTTTCATTTTATATTTATTGTATTTTTGTTTGATTTGAAAAACACTGTTACATCAGATTCTGCCTCTGGAACAAAATACATTAAAAATATGTGATTTTCACGACTTCGAGACAATAATAAATGTTTCTTTGGATCAATGAAAACTCAAAGTTCAAAAGAAAATATGATTTAAAGACACATAATATTCGTCCACAATGAAACCTGGAGATTTGTACTTGTTATAAATAAAATGCATCATTATTATTGTTTTTGTTGTCCCTGTTTTCAATAATCCTAACACAGACACACAGACATACACACACATACACAGTGATACACACATAGTGACACACACATACACAGTGATACACACACAGTGATATACACACACACACACAGAGACACGCACTGTGACACACACAGTGACACACACACAGTGACACACACACACACAGTGACACACACAGTGACGCACACACAGTGACACACACACACACAGTGACACACACAGTGACGCACACACAGTGACACACACACACAGTGACACACACACACAGTGACACACACACACAGTGACACACACAGTGACGCACACACAGTGACACACACACACACAGTGACACACGCACGCGCTCCTGTCTCTAATCTTCTTATGCTGTGAACAGATTTATAATAATCCAGATTTCTTCATATCTGTACAAAGTGTGTTTCAGGTCGAAACGAGAGAAACGTGACAGGGGTATGAATACTTTTGCAAGGCTCCGTGCACGAGCTCGATACTTGTCAAATCAACAGAAACTCACGAACCTCCAGGACCGTCTCCATCAGCGCTGATCTGCGGAGGTCTGGCGCCACCTGCTGCTTCTAACAGGTACTACATCAGTATAAAGCATCACATCTGCAATAGACTGTATACAAACGGACAATGCTAACCCACGAGCTCAATGAAGCCCAGTAGGGAAGTGCTCATGGTGAAGTGTGGCTCCTCTTGACCTCCATGAAAAAGTAAACTCCTCTAGCTCAGTAACGTTTGTGTCACACTCACCATTTTGGTCTAGGGCTAATATCAGTCAATGTGGTTAGCCATGCTGCTAAGTTTTGTCTTTGTGGTTAGCCGTGCTGCTAATTTCAGCACGAGACAAAATCCTGTACCTAAACCTCCTCGTTTGATCGTCCTGGTTGTCGTTGAGAAACCTGTTCCTGGTTCAAATCAACAACACATCGTTCACGAACCACTGCAGTCAATGTTTTAATACAAGATAAAACCAGCGTCAAACTAGAAAAATAAAACATTTAAATTATTTATAAACAACTTTTTACAGAGTTTTCCCCAAACGCCTTCTGTCCAATCAGGGGCGTCCAAACAATCCACACAAATCTGAGAGAAAGTGATGTCACACGTTGCTGAGTGTGTGCCGTTTCCACTGGTCCTGTGTGACCAGTACCAGGTCCTTCTTTCGTCCCTCTTAGTCCTGGTTCTATCCAGGC